TTTTTTTTTTTTTAATGTTTTATTTATTTCTAGGAGAGAGAGAGGGAGACAGCATGAGCAGGGGAGGGTCAGAGAGAGAGGGAGTCACAGACTGAAATAGGCTCCAGGCTCCGAGCTGGCAGTCAGCACAGAGCCCAACGCAGGGCCCGAACCCATGAACCGCGAGATCATGACCTAAGCGAAAGTCGGACGCTTAACCAACTAAGCCACCCAGGCGCCCCATAAATACATTCTGACTTTTAAACCGATGACTCAAGAAGTTATACCTAGGGCACACATTGGCACTGCATATATTTTATTTTAATTTATTTGAGACTACATATGTTTTTAAAGGACTTGCTAATTCAGCTTCCCAATGGTCCCCCAGTATATTTACTGGGGCAACAGCTTTCAGTTAATAGTTTAGGATCTACCAGACCAACCAACTGCTGATGGAACAGGGTGCCCTGTGATTGAGTTCTGTTGTGTCCAAATGTGACTAAAAGGAATGAGTGTCCTGCTTTTCTTTTCTCCTTATGTATTGCAAGCAGCAAAGACTGCTTCTCATCATGCTCATATAGCTGGATTTCTTTTCAAAAAAAAAATTTTTTTAAATTAGGTTCTAACTTGCATACAGTAAAACTCACCCTTGTAGGTATATGGCCGGTGAATTTTGACAAATACGTATAATGGTGTATACCCTATTAGGATACAGAAAAATTCCATATTCCAAAACTTTCTTTGTGTTCATTGTTTAAAACACATTCTTTTTTTTTAAATCAACATACAAATATTAGTTTAATTTTTATACTCTAACACCAAATTATCTGAAAAGAGTATCAAGAAATTATCTCATTTACAATAGCTTCAAAAAGAATAAATTGCTTAAGGAGTAAACCTAAAAAAGGAGGTAAAAGACCTGTACAACACAAACTTTAAAACACTGAGGAAGGAAATGTTTAAAAGACACAAGCAAATAGAGAGATAACTGGTGTTCATGGATTGGACGAATTAACATTGTTAAAATGTCCATACTACCCAAAGCAATCCACTGACTCAGTGAAATCCCAATCACTTTCCCAAAGATACTTTAAAACACATTCTTAACAAAATCTCAACCCTCCTGATATTGTTTTTAAACCCATGATCAATTTGGCAGAATAATTACTGTTTTATACATTTAACCCTCTAAAGATATGATCCTAACAAAACCTACATATTGCATTTGAAAATCAGCCTAATTCCTTAACCATTAAATTATAAATGTAGGAAGGGGAGAGTTTTAAAAGTTTAAACTTTATACTAAAATAAATTATTGATAAAGCAAAGATTAAAATATAAGAAGTGAAACTGTAAAAGCACAATAAAACATCATAGAGATGAACAGTTTCAATACTATTATAGTGATACAGAAAAGACTTTATGCATGAAAACCCAGAAGCCATACAGAGTAACTCTGCTAAACTTGACTTGATACATATTAGCATTTCTATATGGCAAAAACTCCAATGTAACATTTATCACCAATACAAGTCTCATATCCAGAATATATAATTAACCAACAAATTTTTTATTAAGTAATCTCAAGGCCTAATGTGGGGCTTGAACCGAGATCAAGAGTTGCATGCTCTACCAACTGAGTGACCCAACCAGGTATCCCAAGGATATATAAAGAATTTTTACAAATTAGGGGTGTCTGCATGGCTCAGTCAGTGGAGCATCCAACTCTTGATTTTGGCTCAGGTCACAATCTCACGGTTCCTGAGATAGAGCCTGCTTGGGATCTTGCTCTCTTTTTCTCTGCCCTCCCCTCCACTTGATCTTGATCTCTCTCTCCCCCGCCTCTCTAGCCATCCCCCATTTGCACTCTCTTTCTCTCAGATATAAGTAAACTTAAAAAAAAAAGAAAAAAATGAAATTTTACAAATTAATAAAAGATACCACCCAATATAAAAATACACATGAGACTTGAGCAGGTACTTCACAAAATAGGATATTCAAATGAGCAACAACAATAACAACAAATTATGAGAAGGTTTTCAACTTCATTAGCAATTAGGGAAATGCAAATTAAAGCCATAACTAAATACCACTACACACTTACCAGAAAAGGCAAAGTTAGTAAGACTAACAATATCAAGTACTCACAGTCTCATATACAACTGAGGAGAGCTTAAATTAATACAACTATTTGGAAGACAGTATGGCAGTTATCTACCAAAGTAGAATTTACACATAACCCTTTAATCCAATAAATAGGAATGTCACAAACAGAAATGTGTTGGTAAGTCCAAGAATATTCATAGCAGCATTATTCGTAATAGGTCACAACTGGAAGCAATGCAAATATCCATCAACAGTAGAATGGCTGGATAAAGTAAACTGTAGTATGTTTATTCAGTGGAATATTACACGACCAGCGTAAGTGAACAAACTATGGCTACATGCAACAATATGACGGAATCTCACAAACAAGATTGAACAAGTAAAACAAACTCAGTTTAAGAATGCATACTGCCTGCAATCAAGACTCAGAAATAATGTTAAAAGTTACTTCTGGGTAAGATGTAGACCTAGAGGGAAGAAACAAAGGGGGCTTTGGGAATTTGTAGCACAGTATGGTGTGAACTTGGGACTTAAGCGTTTTGGTAGGTATGTTGCACTTAATGCTTCAGTAAAAATTTCTGGACACTGTACAAAAAGAGGCTGTTTATCAAACTTAGATTTTTTTTCTTTAATGTACTCAAGTTCTATCCTGAGAAAACATCAATTATAATACATATAATATGTAATACTATATACAGCATAATATATAATACATAATAATCTATAATACATAATATATAATATATAATATATAATTAAAACATAGTCAGAAATGTTCCTCTGTAACCACAGCTTACCTAATTTACTCTGTTCTTTCTCTTTTGCCAGTAGTTCATCAGTGAGCCTTCGGATCTCTTCCTGGGCCATCCCTAACCTCTCTGCTACAGGCTCTGCATTTGTCTCTAGGCAGTTTTGTGATGTTTCATCTTTTTCCAGGTCTTCATTATGGGACTGAAATAAAACTATTGTTAGTTATAAAACAAAAATTAAATGTACTCTTATAACACTGCACTATCACTACAAGCACTTGAAAGCTAATAAAGAGAAGCAGCAAACAGTATTTCATTTATATGTATTTCTTTCATTAAGTTAAACCATATAAAATTGGTGATATTAGATCTTTTCCCCATAAACGTACAACTTCATATAGTTCAACCTAATCTAAGAGATTATCATTTAAATTATATAATCTATATAGAATTATATATACTTAAATATATCATTCAAATGATTAAATTATAAAAAATAGAAATTTTATCATAAAAGTATCATCTGGCAAAAAGAGAGAAAATCATCCTTAGGTATATAGTCCATTACATACAGTTTACAAAAAGCTTTCATGTAAAGTATTTCATTTCATTTCAAGATAAGCACACACTCGAATCATGTTTACAGCTCCTTTTCTGGAATTATTTTCAAAACATTTTAAAAACTAAGAATTTCAGTCTCAATTATATCTTGCATTTTATTTTTAAGTTTATTTTTATTTATTTTAAGGGAGAAATAGAAAGCAAGCAGGGGAGAGCAGAGAGAGAGGGAGACAGAGTCTCAAGTAGTTTTCATGCTGTCAGCACAGAGCACGATGCAGGGCTCGAACTCACAAACCATGAGATCATGACCTGAGCCAAAATCAAGAGTTTGACACTTAACCAACTGAGGCACCCAGGCACCCTGTAATTATTTTCAAAGCATTTTAAAAGCTAAGAAATTCAGTCTCAATTATATCTTGCTTTTGATCCCCAAAACATGTATTAATTTATATAATCATTATACACATTTTTCTAAAAGATAAGAAGACAACCAAAATACTATCTACATAACGAAACCACTTCTAGTGTATTGGTATATATCCTTGCAATACTTTTTATTTATAGACATTTTTTACATAGTCATAATCCCAATCTATGTACATGTTTCTGTCTGTCTTTTTCATTTAACATTATATGAGAAACATTATCCTACATAACTGCATCAATTTTGTGATGATATTTTTTAAAGACTATATAATATTCCAGAGTGGGTACAACATGATTTATATAATCATTTAAGCATCTGAGAGCTTCCAATTTTTGCTTTTTAAAACAACACTACAGGGTTGGCTTTAGCTCAAGAGGTTACTTCGAATGTGGTTGTCTAAAACAACACTACGAGGCACGCCTGAATGGCTCATTTGGTTGAGCAATGGACTCTTGATTTCAGCTGGGGTGATGATCTCAGGGTAGCACTGAGAGTAGAGTCTGCTTAAGATTCTTTCTCTCCCTTTCCCTCTGCCCCTCTCCTGCTCATGTGTGTGCCTGTGCATGCTCTCTTTCTCTCTCTCTCTCTCAAAAAAGGAAAAAAAAACCTGCTACAACATACACGTTCATCCATATATATTTATCTTGGGTTACTTCCTGTAGTTAAATTCCCAGCAAATACTTTCTTCACTGGATTTAGTGCTTAATAACATTTCCTCAGATCAAAATATTTAATTCCATGAATAGAATTGATTCTACTTAAAATAATGTGCTATAATTACCCAAAAAAGGGCTCCAAACATATTTGGGAAGAAGTATGTATTATCCCAAAGTGATTTTTCAAATGATATAACACATGTTGTTTAAATTTTGATACATTCAATAAAAATCAGTATTAATGTCTTTTTTCCCAAATTTTTGTGATATGTTTATAAAACTTTATACAAAATTTTATAATTCTCACAGCATGAATCTATACATTTTAATATATTCAAACAAAATATCTAGTAAAAGCTAATATATAATTAGCTACTATTATTAAGTAAAGAATTATCTTTTTTTTACCTCTCTCAGATTTTTTTCAGATTGCTGCACATGTTCCTGATATTTCTCCTGTTCTCTCTGTAGAGGCTGGTGGATTTGTTCAAATTTCTCCTACGTAAATAACAAGAGATAAATGAAACTTACATCAATCAGTCTCATAAATAAAAATCTCATTTAAATTTTTTTTAAAAAGCAAAATATAGGAGCAGAGTCCAATCCACTTTATGAGGCTAGACCATGCATTCTCCATGAGACAATACTGTCCCCAAGGGAGTGAAAATTGATCCTGAGGGGGCCAAAAATATCTTGCTCCTTTTATTACAAAGTGAGATGTGCCTTATAATCTTCTTACTCATAAACATAGATATAGAAATCTTAAACAAAATTTTATCAAGTCTAAGCTAGTAATATCTAGAAAGGAGAACATATCATGAACAAGTTGGATTTTCTCCAGGAATGTAAAATAGGTTTAACATTAGAAACATAAATCAACAAAATTCTCACATTAACAGATTAAAGTTCTAAATTAATTCATCACCTCAGTGGCTATAAAAAATCATTTAAGATATTCACCACTGGTTCCTAATAAAAACCCTTTGCAAATTAGGAATAAGAGTATAAATAATAAATAAACAGTACCGTTTGAAACAAAATCTTTAGCAAACATCATACTTAATAGTGAATCACTGAATGCTTTCTCTGATATCAATAACAAGACAATAATACTAGATAATACTAGTAATAATATGAATTTCAAGAAAATATTAAAGAATCTAGCCAGTATAAGGCAAGAAAAAGAAAAGGAATAAGGACTGAAAAAGAAGAAACAGAAGTATCATTATTCTTAGATAATATGCTTGTACAGGTAGAAAATATTTTAAATCTTTAATTGTTAAAATGAACTAGAGGGGAGCCTGGCTGGCTCAGTCGGTGGAGCATGTGACTCTTGATCTCAGGGTTGTGAGTTCAAGCCCCACGTTGGGTGTAGAGCCTTTGTAAGAAAATAAATAAATAAGGGGCACCTGGATGGCTCAGTCAGTTAAGTGTCCAACTCTTGATTTCAGCTCAGGTCATCTTCTCTCAGTTCGTGAGTTCGAGCCCCATGTTGGGCTCTGGGCTGGTGGCACAGAGCCTTCTTGGGATTCTCTCTTTCCCACTCTCTCTCTGCCCCTCCCCTGCTCAGTCTCTCTGTCTTTCTCCCTCAAAATAAATAACATTTTAAAAAATAAATAAAAATAAAGAGATAAAGTATTTTATAAATAAATAAGTAAATGAATAGAAATTTTAGCAATCCTAGGTATAGGTCAATATGTAAAATAATTATACTTCTAAGTACCAGCAATAGATAATTAGAAAATTAAATTCTTTTTTAAAAAGATAGCATTTACTATTAATAGTATCCAAAAATATGAAGTACCTAGGAATAAATGTAACAAAAAGAGTACAAGACTTTGTGGGGAAAATCATAAAGGTTTACTGATATACTTTTATTTTATTTTATTTTATTTTTATTTTTTTATTTTTTATTTTTTTTTTTTACAAATAGTTTATTTTCAAATTAGTTTCTACATAACACTCAGTGCTCATCCCCACTGATATACTTTTAAAGATACATGGAGATATATTCCATGATCACAGATCACATTAATATTTTAAGATAGTAAATTCTTCTTAAACTGATTTATAGATTCAATACAACCAAAAACCAAAATCCCAGATTTTGTAATAACATGAATCAGATTGTTACTTTCCTCTTAAAACTATTTAGTGACTCTCCAGACCTTCTATAACAAAATGCATCATCTATGCAGTCAAAATGTTTTTATGCCTCGGGGTGCCTGGCTGACTCAGTGGGTGTAGCTTGCGATTCTTCATCTTGGGGTTGTGAGTTTGAGCCCTGCGTTGGATGTAGAGATCATGTAAAAATAAAATCTTTTAAAAAACGTTTTTATGCCTGTAGTATAGTCCAGGAACATTGCTGGGTGCTGCGTCCAAACTCTAGCTTAGCATATGAGTCTCACCATGATGTGGTTCCTTAAAATATATCCAGCCACATCTCTCAGCATTCACTCACGTGAACCAGTACTGTTTTCTCTGCCAACAATGCCTTTCCCAGCTTCTTCATCTAGCTAACACCTACTCAGCTTTCAAAGTGCTACTCAATATCTCCTCTGGAAGGCTTTTCTGGTCCCCTGACACAACACATCTGACTCAGCCCTTCCTCTGATGTTCCCTAGCTTTTTGTGCCTTTATCATGGGACTTTCCACACTGAACTATAACCACTGTGTTTTTTTTTTTTCTTTCCTCCATTAGCTCGTAAGTTCCTTGGAAGTCCAAATCATGTCTGACTTGACTTTGTTTCTACATCCACTGGCACAGAGCCTGGCATATGGAACACTCTCAGTAAATAATGATAATGCTAATTAATCCTCTGGGTTCTTTTCAGATGGCATAAATCTTTTACTTTTTACTATATATTTCTGTGGAGAAAAAAAAAACCTACAATAATGCTAACTAATGTCTAAGATACCATTCTAGAGCCTTATATATGTTATTTCATTTTTATGATCACCTTGTGGAGTAGTTGAGTTGATCTCAGATTTTATAGATGAGAAAATCAAGGTTCACAAAAGGTAACTCACTTAGCAAGGTCTTACTGCAAACAAGTGGCAGGGGAAATCCATCCAAATCTAAAACCTATATTCTTTTTTTGTTTTAAAGTTTATTTATTTTGAGAGAGAGTGCACGTGAGTAGGGGAGGGGCAGGGAGGAGAGGAGAAAGAATCCCAAGCAGGCTCTGCGATACCATCTCTGAGCCCAAAGTGGGGCTCAGTCTCAGGGGGAGGCATGAGACCATGACCTGTGCCAAAATCAAGAGTTGGACGCTTAACTGACTGAACCACCCAGGAACCCCTAAAATATATATTCTTAAGCATTATTAAAACTGGCTGCCTGACAATTTAATGAATGAATGATCGAAAAAACCAAATACTAAAAGACTGGCCTGCCTCTTACTCAATTACCTAGTTAATTTCAGAATACCTGGGGAAGTTCTTTCAGTAGGTTACTGGTCATACACCTTTGTGACTCTGGCTTTGGGCCCCGGGCTTCCAGTTTCCGCAAGAGTGTACCTCTTTCTACCAGTAAGTATGCAATCTGTTCACTGGGGCTGCTCAGAGCTATTTCAGATGAGCCCTCTTGATACAACATTTCTTCAGCCTCTTTTATTTGCACTTCTGTTAGGAAGAAATAACAAAAACAAAACTGTTAAAAGAAATGAAGGCAAATAATTGCTGTTTTATGATATTAAATGTGTTCTTAATTACACAGCAAATTAATTTTAAAAATCAGCTATACTGTTACTACGACTCTCTTCCTATCTGTTTAGGGTGTTTGCAAACTTTCAGAAATAAAAATTAAATTAAAAAAATAGTGGGAAAAGGTTCTCAAAAATGGTAGATATTGTTACTATTGGATAACTTTAAAATTCGCTGTTGTTTTATTGAGTGCTTACTATGTGGCAGGTATCGTACTAAACATTTAAGATAAATTTATCTCATCTAATCCTGGCAACAACCCACTGAGGTAGGAAACGTGAATATCCCATTTATGAGACAAGGATGCAGGCACCGACAAGCCAATTAACTTGCATAACATTACTCAACAAGTCCTCCCAAAATTCTTGGTGATTTCGACATTTAGATAGATTATTCTAGTGCCCTGGCTTCTCAGTCTGTTTACCAACTAACTTCCAAAGAAAAAGTCCTTTACCCCCATCTCATTCTCTACTCCCATAGTAATTCTCTAGACCTTGTCAATAGCAGCAACTCTCTAGTCTCAATTTCAAGCATTCCATTCTCCAATCACCCTTTCCTATGTACTTCTAGTAGCTAGATGTCAACAAGTTTTTGGCCATATGGCAACTATAATCCACTGACTTGAAACACTTTTCAATGTTCCTTACCCCATCCTGGTTCTCACTTACTTTCTTACCTAGCTTAGATTCATCCAATCAATTCGTCATTATAACTTCCCCCTTGAAGCATTCACAACTCCTATGCCCCTCTTTCTTTCCATTATATTTGGGTGACAGAGCTCCAGCCTGTTTAAGTCCAACCCCTCAGCTCTACTGCACCTCATTCCAGAAGCTGAATGTGCTGGAGAAAACTTCACAGGCAGTGCTGATTGGTTTCACTTTAAATTCACATCTACTCACATGAAGTAGGTCCTTACTGTCCAGCAATCCTCCCACAATTCCCTGGAATTCTCTCTCATTTTCTCATATTTTCTAGAGCTCTAGACCATTATTTCATTCCTCTCTCTCCTCAAGTCTCCAACAGCTCCTTCCCTGCCCTCACTCTCAGCTGAATACCCTGCTTCTTATTTCACTGAGAAAAAAGCACACTCCAAAGACAGCTTTTACAATCTTATAAAGACTCCAAAATCTTCTAAATCTTATGAATCTCTTGTGCAGTTTAACAAACTATCCTTGCTCCTAAGGCCAGACTCTCCCCTTGTGCACTGGATCCCATTTCCACTTCCCTCAAAGACAACAAGCTTGCAGTTGACTCCTCTCTTGTCCCATCATGCTTTTTTCCCAACTTGGCATTGCAATTATCTTAAAGACATGCTATCTATCTCCCACTAAAAACATCAACGGAAACAACAAGAAATCTTCCATCCATCTCATATCCCCCTCCAGCTGCTACACCATTTCCTCACTCTCCTGTACAGCACAGCTTCAAGAAGGGGTCAGACATTGCCATGTCCCCTCTTGCTCTCCTACCACTCTTTCCTGAGTTCACTCCAAGCAGGCTTTCACATCCACCACTCACAGAAGCAGCTCTCGTCAGAGTCCCTGATGACCTCCACGTGACCAAATCCAAGAGTGAATGATCTGTCTTCGTTCCACATAGCCTATCGGTGACAGCTGACCCATTGTTCACATCTTTTTCTTTTTTTTGTTTTATTTATTTCTAAGAGAGAGAGAGACAGCGTGAGCAGGGGAGGGCCAGAGAGAGAGGGAGGTACAGAAGCTCAAACAGTCTCCAGGCTCTGAGCTAGCTGTCAGCACAGAGCCCGACATGGGGCTGGAACCCACGAACCGTGAGATCATGACCTGAGCTGCAGTCGGACGCCCAACCAACTGAGCCACCCAGGTGCCCTTTACATCTTTTTCTTAAAACACTTTCGTTATTTCTCTCTGAGACCCCACACTCTGCTGGTTCTCCTCCCACCTTGCAGGCCACTCCTTCTCAGACTCCTTGGCTAATTTCTCACCTTTCTAGTTTCTAAAAATAGGAATGCCCTAGGGCCCAGCCCTGAATTTTCTTTTACTCACTCCTCAGGTAATCCCTACAGTCCCAAGGCTTTAGATGTTGGCTATATACTGATGAATCACCATATTCATAGCTGCAGCTTGCAGTGCCTCCCAAACATACACAGTTGTCTACTTGACATTCCCACTTGGATGTCTAATACATGCATCAAAATGTACATGTCCAAAAGCAAGCTCTTTACGGTCTTCTGCAACCCATCTGAGTAGTTGGAACTCTAATATTCCAACTGCCCAGGCCAGAAAGCTTTGGGTCACCAGTCATTTCTCCCCTGTTTTCCCCACCCACCATTACGTCATTATCAAGTCATATTAGCTCTACCTTCAAAAGATAACCTTCAATTATATAAGCTTTTCTGGAGTGATTACGTTTTATGTTCCTAAAACAAACTTGTATTTTGCAAAGTGCTCGCTAAAAATAATGAGCTTCTTGAAGAAACCAGATTGGTACAGACCATTCCAAATCTTTGTCATTGTGTAACTGGAGTGCTATAAAAAACACTAACAATCCTTATAATTATACTGGTACATTTTAAAAGTTACATCAAATTCCTAAGAAATACAGAAATACTATAGTAAATATAGGACTTCATTTTCTTTTAAAAAATCAAGCTTGCTGTATGTAAAGGCAAGATAAAAGAGTTGAGTCTGTGGAGTTATGGAAAAAAAGGCAAAATGCACAAAGATTAGGGATATCTTTTACAATAAGTACGTTCAAGGAGAAAGATGTGGCTAAACTGAATCCAGAAGAAAGTGGGACAAATAAGTTTCATGTATAAACTCCAAGGCTTGCTGGTAAGTCCAAATCATTAACACACTGGGGAAGATTGTATATGAACTTCTGTATTAAAATGACATAATTCCACTATTTACCAATCCTTCAAAAGCCAATTTATGTTGGCAGCAGGACATACAGTATCTTCCATGTCTCACAGAATGGCAGATTAGAGCCCTGAACAAGACTCCTGCTGAGAATAACTAAAAATGCCAGAAGAAAACTTGAAACTCTTAAAATGCAACCACCCTACAAACAAAAATAGAACACAAACTATTCAGCCAGAAGAAGGAAACTCAGTAGATTCCATGGAAAACAAGAAAGGAAAATAAAGGAAACAAGAGTGTAGTACATATGAAACATGTCCTGTGATTAACTCAACTTTTCCATCTGAGATTCAAAATAAAGAAAAAACTTCCATCAGCCAGGCCTCATGAAAGGAAGTTCTAGAACGAAAAAAAAAAAAAAAACCCAATGGAATATCTGAGCTGCAAGAAAAAATGCTGAGCACAGAAAATAATAAATGTGTGGTAAATATAATCACTGACCACATCTAATAATAATATCTAATTTGTGAGGCTAAACAAAATAGAATATTCTAAAGGGTTCCTATCTGTATCCTCTCCTAAAGCTTTGTAGTACTTAAATATTTCCTGAGTCCATAATATGCTAGGTGCTTTACAAGGCCGGTGTTGTGGTGAAATAGAAACCATCAAGACCGGGGCATGATCTCTGCCCCAGAGGAACTGACCCGGGTCACTGTGACACAGTGTAGTAACTGCTCTAATAGACACTGAAGGAAATGACTGTCCTGTACCCTCTCACACACATATCAGGATGTTTCACAACAGGTAATTTAAAAAGACCAGACAGCAAATGCACTCAGATCATTATAAGTACTCTTCTTGGAGTAGAGGATATATAGTAATTTTGCCCCTTCCTGCTCCTTTCATACATTTTCTAATTTTCTATAATTGACACATATTACTTTTAGAATTAGAAAAAAAAATTAACTTTACATTTTTACAAAAGGAAAAATTACCCTGTTTCAGTGGGAGCGCTTTGACCTCATGTCTAAGCTGTTGGTTTTCCTTTTCACAACCGTGAGAAAATGCTTCTCTTTCCTCAGTTAAGCTATCGACATGGTTGGCATACTTTTCCATCTAAAAAGAAAATAACACATTTTCTTACTCTTAGTTCATGGATCATATAGTAACCCGTTCCAGGTCTATGGAGGGAAAGAGTCATGAAGAGGTCACCATACTATCATGTCTCTAATCTAAGAAATAGGCTGAAAACTCAGCTTTCCTTAAGTGTGGGTCTCCTTCCCGAAACTTCCTTCCAGCTGTTTTATGTTATCAGCCACTGTTTCCCATAGATATGACGACATATCACCACAAATTTCTGGAACAGTCACAATCTCAAAATTTTTTTCCATTAACATATCAGGTTTTGAATCAAGTGTCCTTATCTATGGTTTAGGAAATATAGTCATGATGCCCAAAAACAGAGAAAAGTCTCCACAATCACTGTTTATACTCCTATGCTAATGATGATGATTAAGGAGTCTGAAATGTTAACAGAAGATTGTATTGAAATAAATTATTGAGTATTCCAAAGAAGTAGCCTCTGGTTAATATGGCAGCTTCACAAAAGGTATTTTTATGTGGCTCATAATAATAGATTAAAAGCTAACTTGATGCTCCAGGTACTGTGTTAAGGACATCAAATATTTACTTTTCACCACAATGTTGGAGACTGTTACTGTCCCCCTTCGTAGGGGACGAAGCAGGCGGCTGGAGGCCCACGGGCTTGCTGTGTCCTGCAGGGCTGAATAAGGGGAGGAGATAGACTTCACACTCAGCAGGCCAGACCCAGAGACGAAGCTCTTACCTACTGTGCCAAATTGCTTAGAGATAGACTATCAGAGTAACTGAATTTCATTTTACTGAATTGTAAGGCCAACTCCTCACAATACAAACAAACAAACGCTGAGTGGTATATTAGGGGTACACAGCACTGCTACCCAACTTTATAACTTCTTGCGGATCTTCAATGTCTTTCTCTTCAAAATGGCAGGAACAATAATACTTATTTCTAATAATAACACCTATAATTTACTGAATACTTGCTAGGTGTCATGTGCATGTGTGTGAAATGTTTTATGTGCCTTAACCTGTGTAAAGCTCACAAATCTCTTTGAAGAAGCTATTATCATCCCCATCTCACAGATGAGGAATTTCAAGTTCAAAGAAGTGAAGTTACACAGAAAGTAAAGTTACACACGGTTACACAGAAAGACAGTACTACTGGCAATGTTTCACCCCCACGTGCCTAATGTTAGAGTTCATGGTCTATTATGCTGTCCGGCTTTTGTTCTAAAGGAGCTGCATTCTTCTTTAAGGGTTTGGAAATAAATTGTCCTCTAAGAGTTAAATTTAAAAATCAGTAAGCTGCATACCTGAGCTCAGATGTTGAAACACAGCAGAGTGATTTCCAAACAATCTGAATTTCTTAACTTGTTTAAAGAAAGAATACTTCAGAAAGTAGGTTGATCAGTATTGGAAACATCAAAAAGAGTGATAAGAAAGACAAAAGATGTCATTATCTACACATCTAAGGGTGGGGACCCTGGTTCTAGTCTATAACAGGTCCAGAATTAAGGGCAGGTATAGATAGACCTCTTGTGGAAATCAGGCTCTGTTAGCCAGTGCTATAAAAATTTAGAATCATTTGTTCAGCAAGTAAATATGTGGTTTGGCTTCCCATGCAGTGTACCTGTAGCGAAAGAATTCATCAGCCCCAGGACATGTGTGTCTGGTTCCTGCGGCGATTATATTTCTTACTGTCAATCGGTAACCTGGTATCTATTTTTATCGGTAACCTGGTATCTATTTTTCCATAAACTTATTTGTGAGTGTGGTTAATTCAAGATCACCTTTGAGAAACAGATCCTCTCGCAGAGCACGGACGAATCTGGTTTCTAAGCCTATAAGCAAGAAAATCGGGCTAGAGGGTGGGTTATTGAAACAAAGATCATGAAAGCCACCTTGAGCAGAACTCAATGTGACCTAGATGTTCAACCATGCATCTCTGGGTAACATCCTGTACAGGTACTCTACTGGAAACCAATGCAGACTGCTGGCATAGTTCATGAAAAAAATATACACTTGTGAGTGCTTTGCAAACTACACAGTACTATTCAAATGTTGGTTTTTAATGTGTCAGTTTAATGAAGGACAATGAACAAAACCACAGGTATCTTAAAACTTTATGTTATTGGCTCTTACTTCTTTCACTGCTTCCATGTTGCTTCACTGTAAGCTCTTCTAAATTTCTGGTATCAGTGCTCAGCCTGTCTTCATTCTGGAAGAAGCAAAATAGAGTGGTTCTTCTGTAGTAACGTGGGATCCAATCCCTTCTTTGTCGAGATGGTGAAGTACCTATTCTAACTGAATTTGCAGCTTGATAGAAGAGATAAGCATATGTGTATGCATGTACACAAACAACACACACAAACATGCAACTGAGCATGCAATAAATATGATATGTACATACACCCAGAGTTAGGCTCTGTACAAAGTATAGTTTAGCTCTGTTAATTAATGGGTATGTTACCCAGTTATGATGAACACTTACATGAAATAGCTAACAACACATAGAAAATTAAAGTTTCAAACAGCTTTAGAGTATCTTCTAAAATAAGAAATGATGACATGATATATATATATATATATATATGCATATATATATATACATACAATGCAAATGTGTGTTTTAAAAAATACATGCTTTTCTGTACACCCAGTTCTGAAATTTACAATTTAGTAATCTGAAAATCGCCCAAAGGCCCCTTGCAAAGTTATAAATCCCAAAGAAGCCTTTTCGCCTTCAGTTGAATTTGAGAGCTACAGGGACTCCTCTGGAAGCTAGACAGCACACTGATCCTGTACTATCAAGGAATGACTGTGCTCACAGAACATGGCTTATCATTTCTGGTGACTTCTAAATCATTCAGCTCTCTTCCAAAACTTCTCCATATAAGCCTGCCATCCATATTATCTTTAGCTTTTTCAGTTAAAAGTAGTCATGCTACAAAACAGTTTACCCTATAATGGTGGGTGAAAGATAGATTGCTGATTGCTGGAGTTGTTTGTATTTGTGTTACTAGAACCTCTAGCTGTGAACAGGACTAGCTGTTATAATCAAGCACAACTTTTAACCAAGTTAATTTGACCCAAATTGCAGTGATATGCATTATTATTATTGTATAGCTGTCTACAGAAATTATACTCAGTTGTGCTTTTTATAACAGCAAAATCATATTTTATTTTTCTCCTTTCTGGCTAATTTTTTCAGAGTCCTATCATTTTCACATCAACAGTTTTAGTGGACGATATATAGAATTCTAATTATCATCTGAATCTCACACAGGAAGAGAAAAGGACCCAGGTCTGAATGTTTGTACCCCATGTGTCCTCCTCACAGACTGGCAGCTAAAGATCTTGTGCTCTTCCCCATCCTACTCTCATCGTCTGGTCCCCACTCACATCTCATATTCTCCTCCCTTTTTAAGGCTAAATATCCTGATGCATGTGTACATGCATGTGCATGCACACGTGTGTGTGTGTGTGTGTATCATGTTTTGTTTATTCATTTATCTGTAATGGACATTTGGGCTATTTCCACCTTTCAACTGGTATGAAGTAACAGTTTTGTGAACACGGGTGTACAGATATCTGTTTAAGTCCCTGCTTTCAATTGTTTTGGGTATACACCTAGATGTAGAATTGCTGTCACATAATTCTGTTTAGCTTTTTGAGGAGCTCCTGTACTGTTTTCCAAAGCAGCTGCACCATTTTATGTTCCCACCAAACAACACAGAAGGGTTCCAATTTCCCCACATCTTTGACAACATTTGTTATATTTGTTTTATATATACAGTGCTATATATCATAGCCATACTAATGGGTGTGAGGTGGTTGCACTCTTAAACTATACTTAATTCTACAATGACAGTGAGACTTTGGTCCCTGGACCATTACATCTCTCAAACTACCAGATACTTTTGATTTCCCCCCTCAAGTCTGGACCCAATAGTTGATCTTCAATCTCTCATCAATGTCCCCACTTCTCTTGCTCCTTGTCCCACCTTCCCTGAAAATCCTAGCCCTGGAAAAGTTCGACCATTTGCCTTTTCTACATCTATTTTAGTTTGCTGAGAGCTGGTAGAGAAAAATAAAATGAGCAACCTGGCTAGAGCCACTACAAATTCACGGTCTGCAGCCTGAGACAAGCTTCTCTACTGTGAGATCATTCAATGCATTCTTTACCAGATTCTGCTGCCATTTCACCCAGCAGTTATTCAGAACTTTCATCTCTCCCATCAAACTCCAAGTCTTACCTCTCCTCTCTTATGACCTTGTCTCCCACAGCACTAGCAAAAACTAAGGTCATCATATAACTTTGTCAGCTTCTTTCCCTACAGCAAAGTGGGTTTGTGTGCCATCTCTAAGAAGTGCCCTGAAAGTGCCCCCTTCCTCACTCCCTCCTCCATCCCACTGGCTGGAATGCACAAGAGATAGCTGAAGCCTGAGCAGCCATCCTGGACACCAGGGGGTAGAAGCCACGTGCCACAGATAATACACTATCATGAGAAGAGATATCTGTGAATCTCTGACAATTTCAAGATGTCTGGACTCCTTTCTTCCTGACTCTTATTTGGCAGAAATAAATTTCTATCTTTCTCAAGCCATTTATACTTTGAGCTTTCTGACCCTCACGGCCAGCCAATCCCAATTCCTACAGGAAGGTTACATGAAGAATAAGATACAAGGGCAGATGCTGGAAAATAAATATAACTAGGTAGGAGCTGGATATGGAACTGTGCACCCCATCCGGAACTAGACGAGAGCTAGTCTAGCCTGACCCATGAGGTCTTTCAGCTGAATCTGCCCCCATTTGCCAGCTTTTCTATGTGGATGGACTTTTGCTGTCTGTGCATCAGCTAGGCTAGCAACAGCCATTCACACGTGAAGCCTTTCTAACTTTTCAGATTAAGTAATTTCTGTTCTTTATCTTTTAGTTCAAATTCATGAAAGAGGGATGATTATTATCTGCTCACCCAATGAGCTGTGCCCCCCCTCTCCAAAGTTAGTTGTATACTCCTCATTCAGTCCATTGTGACTGGAATGGGTTGGAAGTAGGGGGGTATAAATATGGCCACCAAGGTCTACTCTTTAAAAAAATTTTTAAAATATTCGTTTTTTTCTGAGAGAGAGAGAGAGCGAGCGAGAGAGAGAGAGAGCAGGGGAGGGGCAGAGAGGGAGACACAGAATCTGAAGCAGGCTCTAAGCTCTGAGCTGTCAGCACAGGGCTGACACAGGACTTGAACTCACGGACCACTCAGTGTACGACCTGAGCTGAAGTTGGACGCTTAACCAACTCAGCCATCCAGGTGCCCCCAACCAAAGTCTACTCTTTAAGCAAGGTTTGAGGGAGAAGTGCAAACTCCAAAGAAGAGGGTGTAGGCTAGGAAGGCAATCTAAAATGAGTCTAGTATTTAAGACCAACACATATCCAATTGTCTGATGAACAACCCAGTTTGAACAATCCACTCATCTTTCCTTTCCACCTGCTCCTCCTTCTGTGTTCTATGGCTAATAAAATCACCATCGATACAGTTTCCTAAGCCAGCAACCTGGGAGTCATCTGTGGCCCTACCTTCTTATTTGTCCCACTGTCATTAACAACCAGTCCCTGAATGTGTAGATTCTCTTTCTTATCTAAGGGTCCCCCACCTTAGTTTAGGCTCTCCTCAATTATTGTCCAGTTTAGTATAATTGCATCCTTAGCTGATGTCCCTGCTGCCAGGCTGCCCCCATCCAAAGCCCTCAGACTAACCGTTCTGAATACAAATCACTTGCTGCTTATCATTCCCATTGCTCTCTCGGGAAGAGTTCAACTCCTTAGCTTGGCACCAGAGATTCTTCACAACCTGGTTCCTGCCTGTCTCTATACTATAGCCTTGTCTTCAGCCACACCTTGACATTAGCCTTCCATGCAGTATACTCACTGATCCCCATCATGCTGCTTATATTTCCATGACTTTGAACACTTGGGTCCCTCTGCCTGTTCTGCTATGTCATCCCAGAATGCACATTTTTCCAGGGGATTTGCTGGGACTCAATGAATCAGTAACTTTAAAAATCTAAAAAAGCAGACCTTAAAGTAATAGAAATCCATTATTTGAATTATAAATGCTCTGACATCTAAACTGTGTCTAAAATTACCCACATATCAAAGCACACACAACTATTCTCAACATAGTAGATACTGAATAAATGCTCACTGAGTATCTTAAAAAGTTTTGGGGGCCCCCAAAAAACATCCAGATGTAAACAATGAGTTGGTAAAGCTGTCAAAGCAAACTGAGACAGAGAAAAAGGATTTTTCGATGGAAAAAGGGCAGGGAGAATGGGTGTAGAGTCAGTGCTTCTTGTTCTTATTTCCCCTACCGGTGCCCTCAAACTACAGTGAAGGGGCCAGGACCATAGCTTGTGCTAGAGCACATCTTTTGGCTCTGAGTGAAGGATGAGTTTGGGATCTCATGGTCTTAGAGTGACATTAGGAAACAAACATAAGTAGCATGGCCACAAAAATGGGAATATCAGATAGGCTATTTGCCCTAACCCTTCTTTCTTCCTTCTACACAAATACAATTTAAAAATTATAGACATCTTGGGATGCCTGGGTGGCTCAGTCAGTTGAGTGTCCAATTCTTGATTTCAGCTCAGGTCAGGATCTCATGGTTTGTGGCATCAAGCCCCACACTGGGCTCCATGCTGGGCATGCAGCCTGCTTGGGATTCTCTCTCTCTCTCTCTCTCTCTCTCTCTCTCTCTCTCTCTCCCTCTCTCTCTCTCTCTCTCTCTCTCTCTCTCAATCTCTCTCTCTCTCCCTCTGCCCCTCCCCTGCTTGTGCTGGCACGTGCATGCCCCCTCTCCATTCTCTCAAACTGAAAACAATGTAGCAATCTTTAAATGCTTAAAATATAAAATTAAGAGAAAAAGGAAGGCAAAATGCACACTATCATTACAGCTATGTAAAAATGCACTCACACACACACACACACAAGCAAGGATTGACCCAGAACAGAAAAATGAACTCCATACGTTAGGATAGGGTTTCTCAGCCTCAGCATTATTGACATTTGAGCTGGATAATTCTTTGTTGTGGGAGGATGTTCTGTGCATAGAGGGATATAAAGTAGCATTCCTGGGCTCTGCTAACTGGATGCCAGTAACATGTCCCCAGCTGTGACAACTAAATATGTCTCCATCCATTGTCACATGTCCCTTGGGGAGCAAAATCACCCCCCTGGGCTTAGAACTACTGTGCTAGGGTGAAAGGAACGTTTTTAACAAGTTACTATTTGGATGCCTGGCTGGCTCAGTCAGTAGAACATGGGACTCTGGGTCTTGGGGTTGTGGGGTTGTGAGTTTCGAGCCCCGTTCTTTGGGTATAGATTGCTTAAAAATAAAATCTTAAAATGTTGCCATAATGATGTTTGGGCAGTAAATACCTATTGGAGGGGAAAGGTAAGCCCCTTATGATATAGCATCTAATACCCTTCCCCCCCCAAAATTAGAATTTATCCATTAAATTTGAAAAATTGAAAAAGTTTCAGAACTTCTTCTTCTCACCACCCCTCCACTCCCAATCTATTATAGAAGAGAAAACTGAATTTCTCAGTGTTTGGAGACTTGACTTGGCTGTAAGTATGAGATATCATAAGTAAGAGCTGTAACTGACCTGAGAAATAAAAATATCAAAATCATTGTAGCTCCCAACATACCCTCTAAAAGTGTATACTTTGCATATATGCAAAATGGTTTACATTTAAATCCGAATACTGTAAAAGAAATATTAAGGCTCAACAAGAAACACATACTTTAAGACAATTTAAATAAAGGTTTCCAACTAAAGGACATTGCACTGGCTCTAAATGAAACTTGCTCTATTTTTAAGGTGCTATGTTCCAGGCTTTTTAGGACCATTAAGAGTGCTCCTTTGCCAAAAATATTTATTTTCAATCACTCCTCATGGTTTCTGTTTCTTGGCTCACATAGCAAAGAACATTTTCTGATTAAGAAACTGACATGAAGAGAAGGCACAAGAACTGTTTCAAGCACTCCTCTCCAGAAAATTCTATCGTATCAGGGCATTGAGTTCATACATGCTTATGAAAGTTGAAATCCTGTTACATGATCATTCTAAATAATCTTTTCACATGCACGAGTGCATCATGTACACCTAACATAGTATTCATTTGAGCCAGGAACACTCTTCTTTCTTTAAGTAAGTCTGAGACCGGCCTAAAAATGCATTTTGATTTTTCCCCCTCCATTTTCAAAACACACTAGGCTTGTAGAAATTTACTGTTTGTATTTACCAATGTGCACTTCTCCATGCTAGTCTCTAGTTTACCCAAGACAGGAAGCTTGCCAGAGTGCAGAGAAACAGAGAAAATCTTCCAGATGATCCCAGAGCTGGAGAATGCGGAATAGTTAGCTACCCAAAGCACTGTAGTAGGAAAACAGAGGGAGGTGGTCTGTAGATGGCAGAGGTGGAGATGAACGGACATTCGGTGACGTGCAGCGTGGACAAGAAAGGGTGGAAATGGCGTGGAATGAGCAGGAGCAGAAAACTGGCACTCAAGGTGATGAGAGAAATGGATGAGGTTGTAGCTGGAAAGGCAGAAGGGAACTGACTTGATGACATCTGATGCTGAAGATACAAAAGGCCTCCAGAGCTTCATCGGGAATTAAGGTTCTGCATGATGAACATAAGGCGGAAAGGCAGAAAACGGCAGTTCTTTGTTCACGAACCTACGAACAAGGCAAGCGGTGGCTCCGAGGACTTCGTCCGGGCCAGGCCTTCAGGCGGAGTCACTCCAGCCCGCGACTACAGAGGCAGAGCCCGGACACAGTCTCTCCTCCTGTTTCGGGCCATACTGGGGAGACGAGCGGGAAAGACGCGGAATGCTGAAAAGGGACGCAGGATGGGCGCTTTCCTCCTCGGGGCTGAGATGGGAACCGGGGGAACCTCAGGAACTAGGTCGGAAACTGTCTTTTGGAGAGTGCCGCGAGGGTCCCGGGTCACACGGCTCCACCCGCGCCGCCGCGGCGCCGCCGCCAGCTGCAGGTGCCTTCTCAGGCCCGAGCGTCCTAGCAACCGCACTGGCCGCAGAGACGCCAAGGCATCCTTCCGGCCGGAACCATAGAAACGACGCGCACCATTGGCTCGGGGGCCGCTCTTCCTGTGGAGATAGTGCACACCATTGGATTTTGGGTCGCGGGGCGGGGTTTTACGGGAGGAATGAAGGTACGGCTCATGTCATTGGCTTTGCAGTAACCATGGTAACAACTTGCGCACACTTGCTACTTTGGTGATACATTTTGTTAGCTGGCGTTTATAACTAGGAAATAAAATACGGTTTTATTTTTCTAGAAGTAACTTCATTCTTAAAGTGGAGAGGGTCAGGAGTTCTGAGTTTTAAGCTTAGATCTGTCACTACCTGGGGGCGCCTAAGACAAATCACATTTTTGGACCCGTCTTTATTATTGTAAAAATGAATAAACAGGACTTGACTAGAATTGTCCCTGAGACAGAGCCCTTTAGAAGTTCTAAGCATTAAAAAAAGGAGGAGGAAGAAGGCCTAAGCACTGAAAATTCAGTTTGGGTGAATCCAAGTCATGCAAAATAAAAATTTCTAAATGACAATTTGACAGAGGCTTGGTTTATATCATCTTCATGTAAATGCTCTTATTGCAAGATTCTAGCTCATCAAAGCTTGATTTGTCTCATGTTTTAGGAGCCCTTGCTTTGCTGATATCCTCAACAGGTACTTACATTTCAGTCTTACTGTAGTTCCATATAGAATCCTTTCCAAAGCTTGGCCAGTTGTCTGGACAGATCTTATCCCTTATTTTCTGTGATTCAACCATTTCCTCGTGGAAGAGCCCTGCAAGTGTTTTTACTCTGATCTAAAATGCTCACCATCACTTCCGGCCCACTTAACTCCTACTTATCAGTTCAAGTGTCACTTCCTTCAAACAATCCTTGGTTCTCCAATCTAGATCAAGTGCCTTCTCATTCACTCTCATTGACTCGTGTTCCTTTTCATTATTTCTTTCCTTGCACACTCCTGTTTGCTGTTAAAGAAACAAACAAAAAACCTCTTGGAATTTTAACATGTGTGAATACCGTTTAAGTGCTCTAAATGAAAATTAAGCTGAATTGGAAAACACTTTAAATAATTCCATGTAGGGAAGTGGTGTTTATTTAAGCATAACAAAACAAGACAGGAAATGGTTCTCAAGGGAAGCAATAATTATGGTAGAAACAAACGTTACAATCACTTCTAGTTTTCACTGCATTTGCCCTTATTGGACACTCCAACATCATAATGACAGTCATCGTCCGCATAAAGCTATAGATGCAGGGAAGAAAGTCAATCTTTTGCTTCCTATCCCTTCAGCACTGCAGCCACTGCTGACAATGTTGTCTTTGAGGTTTTGCTAATTGGAGCTTAAGTTAATTTAAAATTTTTGTTCAAAGGGGCCGCTGCTTACAGAATAGTCTTGATTGCTGCAGTTCTTTTTCCTCTGCTCAAAAAGTCACATTTCCTGACTTAATGATTTATTTCAATGCATTTTGGCACCTCTACTCAAATCTTTTCTACTAAAACTTATTGTACCCCTATCATTTGACACAACTCTATGAAATACCACTAATTACATATATTGTTAAAAGTTTATTTTGAGAGAGACAGAGTCAACGCGAGTGGCGGATGGGGAGAGAGAGACAGAGAATCCCAAGCAGGCTCTGTGCTGCCAGTGCAGAGCCCGATTCTGGGCTTGAACTCACAAAACTACGAGATCGTGACCTGAGCCGAAACCAAGAGGTAGATGCTTAACCGACTGAGCCACCCAGAAGCCCCACTAATAGCATTTTAAGTCAAATATGTATAGTTCCTATTTCCACCTAGTTACTAACGGCAGTTTTTCCATATGTACTCTGGACCATCCTACAGATCATTTAGGGGATTTTCCAGAACCACATTTCTCGTACACTCCCAACACAAAACTCAGGACAGTTGAGAGGGGCTTTGAAAATTTAAGAATTCACGGATCAAGCAAGGCCACCACAATACCACTGCCACCACCAGAAAACACACTAGAAAATTTAAGGCTGGGCAAAAAATCTACATGCCAAGCACCAGACTAATGCTTTCTCTTCACAGTTCTATTTAATCCTCACCACAAAAGGCATTTTTTACCAGAGAGATTTATTATCTCTATTTTATGAGGAGCCTGAGAGTGAGTTAAGGGTCAACATTTACAAAGGTCACAGGTGACACAGCGGGAGCCATCTTTAGGTGAAGTTGATTCCAAAGCCCTTACTCCTTACCACATTGTAAAGCTTCCCTCAAGGCAGAAATCACTAAGAAGCCCCTGCCTGGCCCTGAGTAGAAGCCAAAGTAAATTTCCCCCAAGAGCAGTTCTAAAATATTTGAAAGGTAAACTGTTAGCTCAGATAGAGAGTCAATCTAGGAAAAGGAGCAAAAAGTAAATGTAGTGGGAAGCGCATCATTCTATTGGCAATCAATCTTAAGGGAAGTGTCCTTCTCTCCTACTCCCATCTTTGATAAATTTCCCAAAAAACAACACCATTTCCATTGTGTGGGCTTTTGGGTACATACTTTATTGCACTTTATTATTCATACATCCATTTCCCAGAGACATATTTATTCATCTTTTTAATCTTCATAATCCTCAGGACCTACCACACAGTAGGCATCAAGAAATACTTGATCTTCAAGGCATGGCCGTTCATGCATCCCTAATCCTTCTTATACTATGAAGGCTGATATTCAGGCCTCACATGTATATTCTGAGGCATAATTCCCAATAAGCTCTTTTTTTAAAGGTGAGCAACAGCTCGTGTTCATTTCCAAAATCCAGACGATAATCAAGTGAGTGTATCAGGTGGCTTGGTCATAACTACTTTGCTCTTGTTTTCATTTTTACGGAGTATGAAATGACCTTTAAAAGACAAATACCAAACTATATTCACCTGCATGCCACTCACTTCTTTCTCCCTTCATCTTCTCTGTCTTTATGAAAGCAAAGGGTTTATTTTCACCACTTGGAAGAGCCCTGATCCACTGAACAAGTTTTGATCCTACACAGGCGTTTCACTTCAGTTTCTGTCATGTATAAAAGCCGTGTGTCGAGATTGAAGATCATCCACTATCTTCTCTTCTATATCTACACCTTTTTCTACTTCTTCCTCTGATAGCAGTATCTTGGTTTCTGAGTCTTTGGTTAAAATAATCACAAAGGACCTTCGTGACTCAATGCTATTAGCTATCACCACTTGATGTCGATAAACCTCCAAAGCATTCCGTGCACGATCAAGTATGATGGAAGGGTCAGTCTCCAACTTAAAGGAAATTATAAATGCTCTGGGAGCCCAGTCTTTAACCAAAGGAGAAAGCATTTTTGGCACCATCTTCATTGTTATCTGTATTGGAAAAAAGAAAAGCTTCATAAGCAAACAATGGTCACTATCTACCAAGTCAATCTCATGGGAAACTAAAGAAGCAAGGACTCAGATTTTTGGCTAAGTCAGTTTAAGTGGTATTTCTCATTGTCAAACTTTTCAAAGCATTATACATGCTTAGCTTAAAGCCTTGGCTCTAGAGGGTTCATAAAGATACCTAATTCCAAGGCTTCATACAAATTTTGGGAAAAGCCGTGAATTAACCTTGCCCTACCACCCGCATCATCATTAACAGCATTATATTTTCTTCAACATTCCCCTTCTCTTAAACCAAACACTCAAACAAACAAATGCAAATAATCTGTTCATGCAAATCTATACCACAAACGTAACTTTGGCAGAAATTTAATTAATGTTTGGTTTTTAAACCTCTGCCTAAAATATTTCTTGCACTGGTAGAATGGCTATTTGATTCCATTTAAACACTGTCATTCATAATACACCTTAGCGCTGAAGAAACTGATTTTCTTTATTTTCGCTTGATCAAAACTGCTACTATGCCATTCTCGATCCCTTCTAAGAATGTTGCACTGGTTTGTGTACTTTCAAGAGAGAACTAAAAAATACAGGATAAACCAAAGTTCCCAGAATTTTAAAAGTGTGAAGTTACCAGGATAATTATCAGGATTTCCCCCTCAGAACGTTAGCATAGGGATTACACACCCATTCCCCACTTAAATTTTCTCCTTAGCACATTCTCCTAACAGAGTATGCATTTGGCTTATTTACCATCTCCTCTGCAAAGGAGAAGCAACAGCAGGGGCATTGTGTTATTTCTTCACACTTTTTTATCTCCATGTCCTACTAGAGTACTTGGCATATGGAGGGTACTCAATAAATTATTTGTCGAAGAAATGAACAACTGCACAGTCAGCAAGTGCCCCACAGGTAGAGTTTTCCTATTTAAATTCTGCTCCTATCCTAAATGATTAAGAATTCTCTCAGGTTCCAAGAAGTCTGATCATATCCACATCTGAACTATAGCACTAAACCCCCCCATACCCCCTCCTCAAACTACAGCAATCATGGTTATCTAACCTACACCCACCACTCTCTCTAATTCACCTTTCCTACTGATGCCAGAATGTCTGTTTCAAACAAAAATTTTTTTATCTCATTCTCCTACTTGTTTTCCTTAGCTTTCTACAGGATAAAGTCCAAGTTCTTTAAGAGGGAATACAAAATCTTCTGCGAAGTAAGCGGTCTTCAGTCTGCCCGCCTGCCCAGTTCCCTGCTCTCCAGCCTTACCAAAGAATTTCAGGTCACAGCACACTGCTCATTTCCAAACTTCAATTTCTACTCAATCTGTAATGACCTTCCCTACTTTGGTATACGGTTTACTCATCTTTAAAACCCAGTTTATGTCATCTCCTCCTGGAAGCCTTCCTTGACTTCCCCAAGATTCACTCACCCCATGCTCTGACTTCACTTTGTACGTACCTCTACTAGAGCATTTATCACTCTGTACTGTAATTATGTCTGTGTCCAGCTCCCTCACTAGATTGTGAGGTTCTTGAGGGAGGGCGGTGTCTTATTCATCTCTGTATCCCTAGTGCCTAGCACATACGGAATGCAGAAAGGCCATCTCCAGATCAAGAGGGAATTAACCCAAGATTGATTATAGGGGGATCAGATCTCTGGAAGAGAAGCGCCTGTCACCTGCAGTGGGCCCCCAGATGACTGGATCTTGTGTTCAGGCATTTCTGAGACAGGAACATAGAAATCTGACACGGCCGCAGCCAGGTAAAACATCGCAGAAGAGCCTGCAGAGAGAAGCACAGGGTGTAATAAATCGGAGTGGGATATGGGATCAGGTCCTTTTCAACTCAGGCTCCCTGGCTGTGAGACCGCGGATAATGAAAAGGTGAGGGGGAAAGTGTCTGGGGAGAAAGGCTCTGCCTGCAGGGAACCTTGGACTCCTAGAGCACGCACCCAGCGGATTGAGCGCCTGGGCCGCAGCCTGCAGCAGATGCAAATAGTCCGCCAAAGTGGAGAACTCCACGGCCAGGAAGGTGCCGCCAGCCGCAGCCTCCTGGTAGCTCCGCAGAGCGGCGGCGAAGCCCGGAAGTGCATTCTCCTCGGCCTCCAGGCTCAGCAAGCCCGAAGGGGTTGAGCCGCTGGGCCGCAACGCCGACAGCCAGGTCTGGGGCGGGAAGCGGTGGGCAAAAGGGAAGGCGGAGCGAGCGCGGTAGAGGAACAGGACCCCGTAGCCCGCGGCCAGGAAGGCCTCGGCCGAGGTGGCACCGCGCCGCCCGCTGCTGAAGTTGTCCAGGAAGCGCACCGGCCGGGCTTCCAGGGGGACCTTGGTGCCGCCGGACGTGATCAACACCACCCGCCGGCCCTGCGCGCCCAGGCTGGCGGCGAAACGAGCCATAACCTCGGCGTAGCGCGCAGTTCCCGCAGGCTTGGGGAACTCGGCGACTAGGTCCATTTCCGCCATCAGTCCCTGGGCGCGCTGCGCACTGGCTCACGCTCCACGGCCGCCGGCGCCGCGCCCTAGCCCGGCTCCAGGTCCCCGCGCAGCCGCAATAGCGAGGGGGCGGACCTTTACCTTACGCCGCACGCCGGCGCCAGACTTCTCCACGTCCGGGGAGGCGTGCCCGTTTTGACCCACAGGCGGCATAGGTGACCCTGAGCTGGCGGGACTTGTGGGCCGGGCAGGCGTCTGGAAGGGCCACATCCCTTCATGTTGATTTCCTCCTCCGGTAGAGAGCTGGCCGTTTTTGCCTCTAACCGGCCACCGTATAGGCCCTTCTGGACTTTGATTCCACTGGAGTCAGACTGCCCGGCCATTTAACCTTCGGGACTTATGGAGGGGAATTTTTAATTTTTTAAATAGTAATAACCTCACGGAGACACTCTAGATGTCCGTGGAGCTGCGCCTCTCCCCCCGGCGCTTGAATTCCTGGGAACGAGGCTGCCCGGTGGTGGTCACGTGACGTCGGCATCCTGCGCGTCCTCTCCAGGCAACCGTCCTGGGGACCGACGACGCTGCTGGCTGCAACATGAACATCATCTACCCGCTGGCGGTGCCCAAGGGGCGCCGGCTGTGCTGCGAGGTGTGCGAAGCTCCGGCCGAGCGCGTGTGCACGGCCTGCACGGTCACGTATTACTGGTAGGCCCTGAAATGTGTCACCTGGGCCCCTCAATTCCCTCCCTCTCTCCCCATCACAGGTCTGGGTGCCCTGCGTAAGCCGTAGCACCAGCTCTGCCAGGGAGAACTCAAGGCAGCTTCAAAACAGGTCCCTTAAACTTCTGTGTGTGCCCCTTCTCCCGCTCATTCGTCACCAGATGTTTTGTTGACTGCCTACTGTGCACTATGCACTGTTCTAGGAGCGGGAGTTACTAGGGGAAACTTGGTGGACTGTGTGTCCCTCAAAGATCTAACATACCAAAGCGGAAAATAGATAAACTAACAAAAAGAAAACAAGATTATTTTCAGAGAGTCATAAATGCCATAAAAACAAAGGAAATGTTATGGGAGGTTGGGCAGACAGCCTCCCGAGGAGATGCTGGGGGAAGAGTAAGGCCCTGAGGGCGTAAAGACTGGGGTGCCTGAGGAACAGAAAGAAGGCCAGTTTGTCTGGTGCACAGCTAAGACGGTGAGAGAGGGTGGGGAGGGTAATAGAAAATGCGATGAGATTTCATTCATTCAGTATAACTTCCCCAGATCTTTGCTTCCAATTAGACCTGTTTTGGACCTGAGATAAAACTGCTAGGCTGCTGATGGCCATAAACGTAGTCCAGAGCAGACTAAGTTGGTTTAAAAAGTCATTATAATAGTCCCTGCATGACAAGTACTGTCACCAAGGTGTGCTGTTTTCCTGGGACCTCTAAAGATGCATGGTGGCCAGGGCAGTATCTGAATAAATAATGTTTGAGATGATTCTTGAAAGGTCAGTAGGAAATTGCTAGGTGAGTGGACAGTGAAGACAGAGGACAGGGTACTCCTGGCATTTGGGTCTCTTTGGGGAAAGGCCAAAGGAAGAGTTTGTTCAGAGCCGGGGACAGAAGATAGTAGTGGAGGAAGCAGTCGCTGATTTTCAGACTGCAGACTGGACCCATTAGCAGGTCATGGATATATCAAAACCAGCATTTTAAGGAAAATGTACTTTTTTAAGGAAAAGAGTAGAATAACAAAGGAAGTATCAGAGCAATCCTACTTGAATTGTTTCCTGAAACTTTTTAGCATTTTATGTGGATACATGTGTTTGTAATGGTAAAATGTATTTCATACTAAAAATTTTTAAAAACTACTGTGATAGGTAGGAGTAGGAGTTTAAGCCAAGAAGACACAGGTTACGACCACATGGTGACATGAAATTGGGAAGTTTGGAATTTATCCTCTGGAAAGTCATGGCTGGTTTTGACGGGTTCTCCCTTGTGTTCAGGAAGGATGACAGGTAGCAGTGTGGAAGATAAATTGGAAGGTAGGCCCTAGAGGCTCCATCACTGATTAAGAAGTTGTTGCAGTTAGGGTGCCTGGGTGGCTCAGTCAGTTAAGGATCTTGTGGTCCGGGAGTTTGAGCCCCGCTCCGTCTCTGTGCTGACAGCTCAGAGACTGAAGCCTGCTTTGGATTCTGTGTCGTCCTCTCTCTGCCCCTCCCTTGATTGTGCTTTGTCTCTCTCTGTCTCTCAAAAATGAATAAATGTTTAAAAAAAAATTTTTTTTAAAGTTGTTGCAGTGGTAGTGGTGGAGAGTGAATATACCTCTCTCAGACTGAATTAGGTGTCCTTTCTCAGTGGTCTCACAGCACTCTATATGTTCCCTGTCCTAAAACTTATGACACAGATTGAAATCAGTTGTTTAATAGTCCATATTCCTCACTAGGTCTGTATATCCCATGAGGAAAGGGAATAGCATCTGTGTTTTTCTTGGAGTGTCTTCATTGCCTTTAGAACACAATTCAGGATTTGCAGCACCCTGGTCACTTCTCTACCTTAATTTCCCACTACACTCACCCTCTCTTCTTCTTGATGTAGTTACCAAGGTTTTCTTTCAGATCTAATTTGCCGAGCCCTTTCCTGCGTCAGTGTCTTTGCCTGGGCTGTTCTCTCTACTAGGAACTTCCTCTTCAACCACAAGTCTTCCCAGCTCCGTTTCAGCCTTCAGTTCTCAGGAATGTTATTTTCCTCAAAGAGGTCTTTCTGGAAGTACTCCTCTCTTAGTTTTCTCTCTCACCTTTTTCTTCATTTTTCCTTTACTTTGACATTTTGTGTTTACTTGTTTAGTATCTGTGTCTTTTACTAATCCTACTGGCCGCACATACCACACATTCAGTGATCATTTGTTGAATAAGTGAGCTTCTCAATGGATAGTAAACCTATTAACACAGAAGGAGGTGGCGGTGGGTGACAGATTGGGTAGGGGCCCCACAGTTTGAGGGCTTTCAGGTCCCTTGGGAGAGATGGCTAGTAAACAACTTCAAGTACAGGTCTGGCGCTCAGGGGAGAGAGGAGAGCCCTTTGCCTGATATGAGCATCTACCTCTCTCCCTCTTGCCTTCATCCCTACTGCCAGAAGTAATTCTGTAATTCTGTAATTCTCACTTTGTAGTCACTTTCTACTCTCAGATGACTCTTACTTCCCTTCTTCGTTTTATTTTTTATTTTTTTAATGTTGATTTATTTTTGAGAGAGACAGTGTGAGTGGGGGAGGCGCAGAGAGAGAGGGAGACACAGGATCTAAAGCAAGCAGGCTCTGAGCTGTCAGCACAGGGCTTGACACGGGACTCGAACTCACAAACTGTGAGATCATGACGTGAGCCAAAGTCAGATGCTTAACTGACTGAGCCACCCAGGCGCCCTCCCTTCTTCATTTTAGTTGTTAGCAAATGTGCTGTCTCAATTTTATTATGTTATATTAATGCAGGATATTATGTTGAATATGTGTAGAAGGACTGTCATTCATATGCTATCTTTTGATCTGTGTGAGACCCATCTGTGTATACCTTACAGTCTCTTGCACAGTGTTGTGAAACAGTCGAAACTAAAAATGTGATGAATGCATGAATAAATTATTATCTCCTATGCCCTGTCCACCATTAGTTCCTTTCTCCTCTTTCACTGCCTTTAGTTCTCTTTAAGGTCTTCTCTCCCCTCCACCTCTTTTCTTCAGATTTCTCTATGCTTGTGTCCTGGGGATTTTAAGATATTTTTATAAAATAAAACTGAGGTCATTGTTCTGCATCTCAGAAATGGAGTCTTTATTACTCCTTCCTCACAGGGTTTTGTGGTTGAGTATAAAGCATGTAGCATCATGCCTGAAACCAAACTGGCACTCAGTAAGTATTCTTTTTCTTCATTCCAAATTTAAGGCACAGAATTGGAAGCGGGCTCCAGGCTCTGAGCTGTCAGCACAGAGTCCGATTGCAGGGTTTGAACTAATGAACCGTAAGATCATGATCTGAGCCGGTCAGATGCTCAACTGACTGAGCCACCCAGGTGCCCCAAAAGAGTTTTTTTCTAATTATAAATGTAACTCATGTCACTATAGAGAATTTGAAAATATAAAAAATAAAGAAGAAAAATAATCCGTAATCTCACAATGTAGAGATTAATAATCTGATATTTTGGTCAATTTCTTTATATTAGTTTCCCATAAATACAGCTGTTTTATACACTTTGTGTAATCTTGCATATATTGTTCTATATTGGATTATTAGAATGTAGCCAGGGAACAGAACCTTTGTAAGAAAAGGCAATTTTATTAAAATATACACTGAAACATTACAGAAAGTTAAGAGGCTTTAGTATTGTAGGTTAGCAAATCGTAGCACATAGATAAGAGTGATTTGCAGTAAGTTTTATTTAACATGTGGGGCACAAATGAAAATGTTTCACTGGTCAGGAAAAGAAAACAGTGAAGTGTTTGGTATTCAATAGTAGGAGACAGTAGGATCTGTTGTAAACTGCAGAATGAGTGTCCTGCCTAATGTCATCCAAATTTAAACATGATATTTTAAAAAACATGATAATGGTCGGGGTGCCTGCGTGGCTTTGTTGGTTAAGCGTTCAACTCTTAGTTTTGGCTCAGGTCATGATCTCATGGTTTGGTGAGTTCTAGCCCCACATTGGGCTCTGCACTGACAGCACAGAGCCTGCTTGGGATTCTCCCTCTCCCTCGCTTGCTGCCCCTCCCCACTCATACTGTCTCTGTCTCTCTTAAAATAAATAAATAAACTTAAAAAAAATTAAACAAACTTACTAAAAAACAAACAAATCAAAACATGATAGTGCCAAACAAAAAATGTCTGGCTCACAGACTACTTGATTGAAAACATATTTTTCTCCTCTTTCTTTATGCATGACTCTGTGCTGGGTTTTAGGGGTCAGACAGATGAATAAGAAAAAGAGCTCATGAATATATAAATAATGCTCATTTATTTGGAAATATTGAGCATAGATATGTCAAATGCTCTCAGTGGAACAAAAATTCAGGCAGTTAAGTAAATATTGCCATTATTCACACAATTATTTAAAAAAACCCTATTTAATAAATACCTTATGGAACTCAACTTTTTCTATATCCTGGCTGTTAAGTGCTTTAATTGATTTATTTACAATAATTCTTTATAAAAAAATTTTAAATGCTTTATATAATTTCTTTGATAGCAGTTATAGTTTAAAGAGAAAATACTTTATTGCATTTCTTTCGTCCCAGAAGGAAAGAGGGAGAGCTTCAACAAGGCTATATGTTGTCTGTGACTGCTTTTGTGCTACAACAAGAGTTGAATTTTTACAACAGAGACCATACAGCTCTCAAAAGCCCAAAATATTTACTATATGGCCCTTTACAGAAAAACTTTGCTGACCCTGTGCTAGGTTATTGTTACCAGTTTTGGAATATGTATAAGTGGAATCAGTTAACTTAGTTACTGAGTAAAAATATTTAATAGGCAATAGAAATGCAAAAATTCATGATTTATGTATCTAACAATGGAGTCTCAAAATGCATAAAGTAGAGAAGGGACAAAGAAATAATAGTTGGACACTTCAGTATTCCACTGTCAATAATGAATGGGAGATAAGCAAGGATGTACAAGGCTTGAACAACACTATAAGCCAACTAGACCTAACAGACATCTGTATACATATGGAATGCTTATGGAATATT